TGCGGGGCGGGTATGGCGGCGGCGGAGGAGGAGGAGGTGGAGCAGCTGCTGCAGCTGCGGCTGCAGCTGCTGACCGGCTGGCAGTACAGAAGCTGTTCACCGGAGAGGTGCGCCTGCCCCCTCCGCTGCTGCTGCCTGCTCTGCCGGCCCGCGCCGCAGGCCGCCCCGCGCCCCTGCTGCTGCTTCTCAGCAGCTGCCGCTCCCTGCGGGCCGGGCCTACCGTCCGTGCCTGGTCATACAGCCTTACAGGCGGTCGACAGCAGGCGCCAGTGGCAGCCAGCCAGCCTGCCTGCCCTCCTGCCCGCCAGCCTGCCTGCCTGCGCGGCCCACTCCACTGCCAGCACACCTCATCAGCCGCCTGCCTGCCCGCTCGCCTCCCTCCCTGCCTGCCTGCCCGCCCGCCCGCCTGCAGGTGGCCCTGGGAACGGAGCAGCCGGTGTGGCGGTACATCGACCCCGACGGAAACATGCAGGCACGGCGGCAGCAGCTGGTGGTGGTGGTGATGGTGGTGGTGGTGGCGGCGGCGTGCACCTTTGTGTGTGTTTGTGGCGGGTGTTGCAGAGGCTTGGCGCCGCCGCCATGCTGCATGCCTGGCCCCTCCCCAGCCTCAGTACCATGGCCTGCCCGCCAACCCACTCTGCCGCCCCTCCCCGCCGGCCTGGCGCTCTCCCGGCACCCGTCCCTCTCACCCCTGTCCCTGCCCTTCTTTCTTTTTGCCTTCTTCAGTCTTTCTTCCCTCCCTGTCATCCTTTCCTCCTGCTTTCTTGCCTGCCTGCAGGGCCCCTTCCCGGCCAAGGACATGATGAGCTGGCACGAGGCGGGATACCTCCATGACCTCACCCTGCCCATGTGTGGCACGGTGAGCCGCTATGGGGGGTTGTCCAGGGTGGTGGTGGCGGTGGTGGCGCCGCTGGGTGGTGGTGGTGGCGGCGGGATGTGTGCCGCGTGTTGCGGCTGCGCGTGCGTGGGCATGTGCGCGGCGCGTCGGCAGCCCTCGGAGCAGCCGGCGCCTCTGGCGCAGCCGCGCGGAAGCTGACCGTCCCGCCGTCCCGCCCGCCCCCGCCCCCGCTCCGCCCGCCCGCCCGCCTCAGGAGCGCAAGGTATCGCCGCCCAACCTCCCCACCCCAGAGTTCTTCCTGCCGCTGGGCAAGCTGCTGGCGTATGTAAGGAGCGGCAGGCGCTTCACTCCCGTCCACGTCGACGACATACGCGCGGGTGAGGCGCTGGGAGGGGCCTTGGTTGCTTGTGGCTTGGCTGCGCCCGTGTGGAGCGGCCTTTGTTGCTTGTGGCTTGGCTGCGCCCGTGTGGAGGGGCCGTTGCTGGCTTGGCTGCGTGGCGCGCCTGTGCTGGCTGTGGTGCCGGGGCAGGCCGCCGGCAGGTCTCCAGCGCCAGTCTCCACCCGGTGCCGGCGTGGCCTGCCGCCGCCCAGCCGCGCCCGCCCGGCGTCCCCGCGTTGCTCCTGCGCCGCCGGCCCGCCGCGCCGCTGCCTCACGCGGCTGCTCCCCGTGTCCGCGCCTCTGCTGCAGGCAAGGTTCCCGAATTCCTGCAGCAGCTGAAGGATGGCGCCAAGCCCGCAGCCGCGGCGCCAGCCGCGGCGGCAGGCAAGGCCGCCAAGCCGGGAAAGGCGGCCAAGAAGGGGAAGGCGGCGGCGGCGGAGACGCCGGAGGCGGCGGCGGAGACGCCGGAGGCGGTGGCGGCGGCGGTGGCGGCCGCCGCGGTGCGCAGTGTGCTGATCTCCCTGGGAGAGCTGGAGCCAGAGCCCAGCCCCGAGGAGGCAGAGGCAGATGCGGCGGCGGCGGCGCTGGCGGCGGCCGCCGTGGCGGGCGCCCTGGCCGCAGTGGCAGCAGAGGAGGCCGGCGGCGGGCAGGCGCGGGAGCAGGCGGAGCCGGCGGCCACCAAGGCGGCCCCGACAGATGGCTGTGCAGGTGTGCAGCGCCGATGTGGCGCCTGCCATGCGGCTCCTGCCGCCATCGCTTTGCAGCGCCCTCCTGCTGCATAATGCTGCTGTTCAGGGCACAGGCGCCCACGCCTTTGTGGGCACTACCGTGCGCCATCCCTGCCGCCTGCCCGCCCCTCACCGGCCGTCTCTCTGCTGCCGCGCTCTCCCTTGCCTTTCGTCCAGGCGAAGAGCCAGAGCACGACGAAGGAGAGGTTGTGATTGAGGAGGAGCAGCAAGAGGAGGAGGAAGCGGATGAGGGGCCAGCAGGAACAGAGGAGCAGCAGCCGGAGGTGGTAGCGGCAGCAGGTGGTGCCGGTCTGCCGCCTCCGCTGGAGGACCTGCCTGAGCCTGCAGCAGGAGAGGTGGCAGCAGCAGCGCAGGACGGCCCAACCGAACCAGCAGCAGCAGGCCGGGAAGAGGCTGCGGCGGCGCCGCCCCTGCCGCTGCTCGAGGCCGCCCCGGAGCCGGCAGCCGGGCAGGAAGGTGGTGGCAGCCCAGCGCCGCCGCCGGCGTTGGCTCAGGAAGAGGACGGCGGTGCCGCCATTGGTGCTGGCGAGGAGCAGGAGGAGGAGGAGGAGGATGACGACGCGTTTGTGGATGCATCAGAGGCCACCCCTGCCCCTGACTCGCCTGTGCAGCAGCAGGCCTGAGGCAGGACTTACCGAGGAGAGCTGCTGTGCACCTGAGGCAGGCAGGCGCTGTGGCCGCCTTGCCATGGCAGCGCCTGCAAAGTTCATGAGCCAGCAGGATGTGAGAGCTGCTGTGCACCTGAGGCAGGCAGGCGCTGTGGCCGCCTTGCCATGGCAGCGCCTGCAAAGTTCATGAGCCAGCAGGATGTGCGGCATGTTGTGGGAGTATCCAAGCCGCGTTCATTGGCGTGATTGGGATTCTTGTGTGCTGGGTGTGCTTCCTGTCCCCGCTGCGGTACCCTCCCGGGCATTATGCTCTGTGAATGCAGGGCTTGTCGCTTACAGCGGTGTGCATGCGACGGAACATTGATGTAAGGAACAGGGCAAATAATTTGGAAGTGGTTTCGAGCAACAAGAAAGGTCAGCAGAATTGGGGAGTCGCATGTGTGCATGCGGGTAGCATGGGAGCACAGAGGTGTCAAGAGTCCAGCCAGGTGGTGAACCATGGCAGGCAGAAAGAGCAGCGGCAGACAAGAAGGAGGAAGAATCAAAACCAAGGTGACCAGTTCGGAAGCAAGAGGCAGGCTTGGAAACGTACAGTCAAACAAGAGTGCTCATGTTGTTAGCAGATCAGCGGAGCGCCGGCAAGCGGCATCTGTGCCACCAGCAAGGCAATAGCTGGCGGCACAAGATGGGCCACCCCAGGCAGCAGGAGGCAGAACACTGGACGCAGCAAGGGCTGAGACGGCGGCAAGTTGTGCCGCGGCCCCAGACTGTCGAACAGCGGAGATGCCAGCGGTACAGCTGTCTGCCTGCAGGCGCCTCAGTCGGAGGGGCTGGTGGGCAGGTTCTTGGTGTTGTCCCAGCACAGCTTCTGGCCCGTCTTGCGGGCGGTCCACAGGCCGGTGGTGCACTTGGTGCACTTGGTGAGGCCAGTGGCGGCAGTGTAGGACTGCAGCAGGAGCAAGGTACCACAGGAGGGGTAAGAACGCCGGGCAAGCGGGGCAGCAAGCGGCCACCATTGGCCAGGCCACAGCGCTGAGCGGCAGACACCAGCATCATTGCTACTCACGTTAATGGGGCAGGCGGCGCAGTCGTTGGGGGTGATGGAAGAGATCCGAACGCCATACTTGCCGGCGGGGCAAGGGGAGGGAGCGGCCATCTTGGTGGCCTGGCAGTAGCTGCCGGCGGGGCAGGGCTTGCAGGAGCGCTGCCCCTCCCTGTCCTGGTAGGTGCCCTTGGCGCACTCCTTGCAGAATGGCTGCTTCATGTCGGCCCAGAAGCCGGGGCGGCACTTGGTGGGCAGTAGAGAGCCGGAGGGGCACTGATGGCCGGGAGGGCAAGGCTTGCAGGCGCCCTGGCCCTCCTCGTCCTGGTAGGTGCCACCCTCGCAGGGGATGAAGCCGTCGTTGCCGGTGCCGGGGGCGTAGTTGCCCTTGGGGGCGGCCACGCACACCTCGATCTCCGTGCCGCCGGTCATCTCGGTGTAGGTGCCCACGGGGCAGTCCTTGCAAGTGAGCTGGCCATCCTCATCCTGGTACTGGCCAGGCTCGCAGACGTCGCAGGCGCTGGCTCCCACGTCAGAGCTAGCGTAGCCCTTGGGGCACTTCTTGCAGGGGCCTGAGAAGCCCTGCGCATCCGAGTACTCGCCTGCATGGGAGGCAGAGGAATGAGTTGGACACGGCAGGGGACAGTGCATGGGCCCTGAAACGACAACGGCTGCATTGTGGTAGCACGCCCAGCTGCAGACGCCTCTCACCGGCGGGGCAGGCGGTGCAGTTGATGTGGGTGGTCTCCAGCAGGGTGGTGCCTGGGACGCAGGCCGTGCAGCCGCTGGCTCCAGTCGCCAGCTTGGTCTCGCGGCCCTTGGGGCACAGGGTGCAGGTGTTGGCGGCGTACATGGAGGGGCGGAAGCGGCGGGCGGCGCACTTGGTGCAGCCAAAGGCGCCCGTGCCGTTGACGGTGGCGCCGCTGGTGGGGGCGGTGTCTGTGATCTGGCCGGCGGGGCAGGCCTTGCAGACCTTCATGCCGACCTTGTTGGCGAAGAAGGCCTTGGGGCAGGGGGTGCACAGCGCGGTGTTGGGCAGCCCGTTGTAGTGGCCGAGGCGGCACTCGGTGCAGGTGGAGGCGCCGGGCAGCGTGCTGCCCGTCTCCCACCCCGCGGGGCAGGTGCGGCACTTGTTGTCGGTGGCGCCGGGCGGCTTCCAGGTGCCGACCTTGCACTTGACGCAGAAGGACACGCCGGAGCCGTCGGGGCTGACGGTGATCTCGCCGGGAGGGCAGTCGGTGCAGGTGGGGTTGAAGACGCCGTCTGAATAAGAGCCGGCGGGGCAGTCGTTGCACGCCAGGGCGCCCCTGCTGTCAGCAAAGCTGCCGGGGCCGCTGCGGCAGGGAGAGGGCACGGCAGGAGAGGCGGGGGAGAGAGGTAAGCGGCTGAGCGCAAGCTCGGGCCAGCTTGCATGGAAGGCATGCACAAGGGGCAATGGCATCCGGTCGGCAGCGCGGCAGGCGGCCCAGTATGGCTGCCACGGGTGGCGCCATGCATGCA